GGGGGGGGGGGGGGGGGGGGGGGGGGGGGGGGGGGGGGGTGTGACGAACAACTTGTGTAGATTGATACAGCAGGAGTGAGAGCCGTTTATTGTAGGACAGGAGCAGTATTTATACATTCCACACAGCTTATCTAATTAGCATAAACTAGATACATCAGTCAACCAATAAGGAATCTCCACACTTAATGGCTCCCTGGTGTTACTTCACAAACCACTCCCTCTGGCATTTTGCCAGGCACCATCCAGACTTGTTTACAGACTCTAACACCCTGCATCAGCTCGTCAAGCCCCCCCCTCCTGCATTTGGATGTATGTCTTCTGGCTGGGTCTTCTGGCCCAAAGAGGTGCATTCCAGTCACCTCTGCCCTTCAGCATCTCTCGTTTTCTGCACGAAGGCCTTCCACATCTTTCATTGGTTAATTCCTAGATATTTGACATTTTTCGCTGCTTTTCTAAGTGGGACTACTTAAGAGAATTCATTTTCTGTTTGTTGCTGGGGTAGAAGCAGAGTTTACTCTGGTCTGTGGCTGCGTGTAGTAGATTTGCTGAGTGTCCCTGTGGTTCCTGCTTTTCAACCTCTGGCCTCTTTTTACTTATCTCCCTGCCTGTCACCACCTCCACCGTGCAGTCACTCAGATGTGGTGAGGGGAGAAAGTAGGACATTTACTCATGTGTGTTGACTGATGCTCCTCAGGTGGAGGAAGTTTCCTCCTGTCTCTATTTTGCAAAGAGGTGGCTATTTATCTATTATTATAAATGGGCATTGCATTTTATACAGATGTTTTCCTTTTCATAAGATGCTGATGTGGTTTTTCATCCTTGGTTTATCCATGTGGCAGGTTAGATGGCCTCTTACATTAGGTTTTCCTAAGTGCAGCTTGGGGCACTGGCCATGGGCTGCACACATTGCTGGCTCTGCCTGTTCTGGGTATAGAGTTTTCTTTGTGGGAAGTCTCTCCTTAAAATGCTTTATGGAGGCCTATTTGACACACAATAAGCTGCATGTACTCTGAGTGCACAATTTGATGAGTTTGGATATTTGAATACACCAGGAAACCACAGCAATCAAGATAGGGAGTTTCCCATCAGCCCAGCACTCCGCATCCTGCCCTGCAGGAAACCACCCTGTGCTTTCCGGCCTAGATCAGTTTGCATTTCCTAGAACCTGTGTAAGTGAGTCCCGGTGCCCGCCCTGGGCCTGAGTCGGGCAGGTGCTCTCCTTGCTCCTCCTGAGCTGCATCCCTCCGCTGGGGCCCCTGAGCTGTCTGCACTTGCCTGCCATGGGCATTCGGGCTGTGCGGCTGTTGGGATGTTGAGCACTGAGAGTGGTCACGTATAGGCCTTTTCTTAAACAGATGTTTTAATTTCTGTAGGTACATGTCTGGGAGTAAAACCCCGAGTCTGGTGCGGTGTGTTTGGCCCACTGCCAGGTTCCAGACTGTTCCTAAGGGTGTTGGTATTGGAGTTGCAGCCGCCAGGCCCTCTCCATTCCTTGCTGTGGTCAGCCTCCCCATTTTAGCCACTCAAAGAGGCGTGGAGTGGCTTTAATTCTCATTTCCCTAAAGACTAGTGGCCTCTTCCCCATGTATTTGCCATCTGCACATCTTCTTTAATGAAGTAAAAATATTTTACCTATTATTTTATTGGGTTGTTGGTTTTTATATTCTTGAGTTTGAATGTCCACTATATCTTCTGAATATGCTTTGCAAATATTTTCCTCAGTTTAGAGCTTGTCTTTTTGTTTTCTTGACAGCCTATTTCAAGGAGAAAGCTTTAATTTCGATGAAGTTCAATTCCTTAATTTTTTTCACATTTTTTGGTGCCATATCCAAGCAATCTTTGCATTATTCAAAGCCACAAAGATTTCCTCCCATACTTTCTTTGAGAAGTTTCATAATTCTAAGTTTTTACACTTAGGTTCATGAAGCTTGTGGAGTTAATTTTTATACCTGGTGAGGTGTGGCTCAAAGCTGGGTGTTCTCTGACTGAATTGCCTTTGTGTCTTTCACAAAAGTCAGTTTCCATGTTTCTGTGAGTCCTTTGACCTCTGTTTAGTTGCATGGATCCATTTGCCTGTCTTGATATTAACTCCATACTTTCTTGGCAGATCTTTAACTGGTGGTGGAAGTCCTTGAGGCTGGTTACTCTTCTTCAGCTTCATTTTGGCTGTTCTAGGTCCTTTGAAGTTCCATGTGGATTTTGGGGTTTGGTTGTGACTGCATTAAATCTGTGGATGGGTTTGGTGAGAACTGGTGTATGGACAGTAACAGGCCCTGGTGTGGGTGCCATCCTCTTGCTTGCCCAGGTCCTTTGCTGGCCCCATAATCCCGACATACTCAGTGTACAGACCTTTCACACCTTGTGGCAATGTATCTCCAAGTAGTTTGCATTTTGGTGATGTGAATGGTACTATCACATTTTAACTTGTGACGGTCTTTGCTCCTGTGTTGGAAGTAGGACTGATTCTGTATGTTGACCTCATGCCACCTCATGCTGTTGAACACCTTCTTAGTTGGAAACATTAAGTGGGGACATAGAAGACAAAGAAAGATCTACAGCAAACTTCCAGAGCTGAATGCCCGAGATGACATTACTCAGGGTGGGAACATGCGCTTAGCAGGTGCACTAAGTAATGACAAGAAAAGATGAACACAGTGGGCCAGGAGAGGGAGGGCATGGGAATTCTAGAAAAGAACCAAGCAGAAATCTTAAAACTTTAAAAATAACATCTGCTATTAAAAATTGTTGGACTGATTAATATGAGGAGGACATGAGTAGGAGGGGCATCATAAATGCTGTTGCATGAATTCCCAGCATATTGAGGTAAGTTAGGAATGCCTGTAATAAGGAAAGACAAGCAGTGGTAGCTGAAAAAAATACATGGTTAACCCAATGGGAGTAAGGAAGAGAGGAGCAAAGAGCAGTCCTGCGCTGAACACACAGCTGTGTGGCAGACCGAGAAGTGTAGACCCAGCCATGTCCACTAACAGGGGACACACTGTAAATACAACAGCAGGAGCAGGGTTAGACAAAAGACATCCCATGTTCATGGATTGGAAGAATTAATATCATTAAAATATCTACATCACCCCAAGTGATCTACAGATTCAGTGAATCTCTATTAAAATACTAATGGTATTCTTCACACAAACAGAAAAGAGATTCCAACATGGAACCATAAGAGGCTATAGATTGCCAAAGCAATCGTGAGCAAAAGGAACAAAGCTGGAGGCGCCACACCACCTGCCTTCAAAATACACTACCAAGCAACAGTAACAGAACATCCTGGTATGGGCAAGAAAACCGACACATCCTGGAGAACAGACCAGCGATAAAGCCACATATTTGCAGCTAAGTTATCTTTGATGGAGGTGCCAAGGCCACATTTATTATTTCCTTTCAATAAATGATCTTGGGAAAACTGGATATCCACCTGCAGATGAATGAATAAATGTAAGATCCCAAATTCTGAAACTCCTGAAGCAAACAGAGGGGAAATACTTCCTGGCCTTGTTTTGGACAATGATTTTTGGCTATGACCTCAAAGGAAAAGGCAACCAGATCCCAGACAGACAAATGCGAGTATACCAATTGACTTGGTCTGCCAATAGTAAGCTATCAACAGTGCAAAGAGACAATATTCAGAATTCAAAACATTATTTGTAAACTATATATTTAATAAGGGGTTAATGTCTAGAACTGAGAAGAAACTCAAGCATCTCAATATCAAGAAAACAAATAACTCTATTAGAAATTGGTAAAAGATCTGAATAGATGCTTCTCTAAAGAAGAAACACGAATGACCAAAAGTTACATATTAAAAAAGCTCAATATCATTAATTGTCAGGGGAATGCAAATCAAAACCACAATAAGATACCAATTGAACTATGCTTATTTCAATTAATTTTGAATATTCTATCTTCTTTGCCATCTGATGTAATTTTTAATTGTGTCATACTTCAATGCCTGCACACTCATGTGATGATAAGATCAAGGTTGTCAATATGTCACTCTCTTAAACATTTAGACTTTTCTGCTCTGTTCATAGTTGCTTATGTGCTTTGTGATGGTGTGTAGCTCAATGCTTGTATGCAGTATGCAGTAATAAAATCAGGACAAGTGACATTTCTATCTCCTTAAAAATGCTACAATCAGCATGTCAGTGTCTACAGAGGATCTTCTGGAATCCTGACTGGATTACCCCATCACTTGGGGAGAAGACATCATCTTCCCGTCTTTCAGCATGGTGTCTTCTCACTTATGTAGACATTCCTTGATTGATTTCACCAGTGATCTGTGGTTCTCAGTATGCAATCCTGCACTTGTGTTGTTAGATCTATCCCTCACTAGTAAATTTTTAACTAATATTGTGAATGATACTTAAAGAAATTGCTAAATTCCAATTATTCACTGCTAGTATACAGAAGTCCAATTTCTTTTTGTGTTTTTATTTTTGTATTCTGACCTTGATAAATTTAGTTATTAATTTCAAGGTCTTTTCTGTAGATTTCTTGATATTTTCCACCTAGATGATTATTTGACCTGGGAATAAAATGTTTTATTCCTTCCTTTTTAATCTATAATCTTTCTTCTTTTTTTTCCTGCCTATGCACTAAGACTTCCATTAAAATGTTGAGAAGAGCAAGGAGGGTACCCTTCCTGTGTTCCTTAGTTTGTGGGAGAAGCACTCAATCTCATTAAGGGTGATCTTGGCTGAGATGTTTAGTCCCTTGAAGGTAGCTATTCCCTTCTGTATCCAGGGCACCGACAGCTTTTATCTTCAATGGAAGACCCATTTATCAAGTGCGTTTCCAACACCCTGGAGATGATCATCTGCTGCTGCTTTTTCAGTCATGTGACACACTACATCAATTAATTTTCTTGTTGTGCAGCTTCTCATTCCTGGGATAGATTTAACTTGGTTGTACTGTCATTTATTTACTTAGCAGACTTACTGCTCTGTAAGTTATACAGCATAAAAAACACCCAGTGAATGGCTTTAAAAACAAGTTTTTTTGAGTTGTAAATCTGCCACCTCAATCTAGTTTTAGAACATTTTCATCATGCCTGCATTTTTCATGTGTTGCTAAATTTGGTTAATATTTTGTCAAGATGTTTACGTCTTTGTGCAGGAGATAATATTGGTCTGCAATGTTTCTTGCAATATTTTTGCTTGTTTTAGTATCAGAGCATGCTGAGAATTGCTGAATTAGTTCCTTTTTCTAGAATACTCTGTATATTCTTAAAATCATTAAAATACTCTTAATTATTTGGTGGAATTCCTCAGTAAGATGTTCTGGGCCATGAATTTTCAGTTTGGAAGTTTTTTTAAAAAAATATTTTTAGTTGTAGCTCGACACAATAACTTTATTTTGTTTATTTATTTTTATGTGGTGCTGAGGATAAAACCCAGTGGCTCAAACATGCTAGGCAAGCACTCTACCACTGAGCCACAACTCCTTCCCCAGTTTGGAAGGTTTCAAACTAGGGATTCAAGTTCCCTAGTAGACACAGCATATTCAGGTACTTCGTGTCTTTGTCAGGGACTTTGGTCAGCTGTCTTTCAAGGACTTGGTCAGTTTCCTCTCCACTTACAGATTTATGGGCAGACAGCTGTGTCCATGTTTTCCTTATTATCTTGTAAGCATCCAGAGTCTTCAGTGGTTCCTGATCCTTAATTCTTGATGTTGGTAATTTGTGTCTTCTCTCTTCTTTCGTCCAACATTCTGGCTAAACTGTATATCCAGTTGGTCGATCTCAAAGAACCCACTATCAGGATCATCAATTTTCTCCTTTCTATAATTTCTATTTTGTTGATTTCTGCTCTTATGTTTATTTTCTTCTGCTTGTTCTTTTCTCCAGTTCCCTAAGGGAAAACCTAAATTATTGATTTTAGAGCTTCCTTCTTTTTGAGTAGAAGAATTTAATGCTACTAGTTTCCCACTAATTCCAGTTTAGTTGCATCTTACAAATCTCCATATGCTGTATTTTCATTTTTATTTTGTTCAAAAGGTTTTCTGATTTCCCTTCAGGCTTTATTTTGTCCCATGGATTATTTTGAAATGTGTGGTTTAATTTTCAAATATTTGGGAACTACCTAGATAAATATGGTGTTGATTTTAAGTTCAATTATAATAGAATCAGAGAGCATATTTCATGTAATTTCTATTCTTTTAAGTTTCCCAAGACTTATTTTATGGCTTAGAGTCTGCTCTATACATGTGGTTTTTCATGCTGAAAGAAGGGATATGACGTCCTTTCAGGACACTTCCTCCTCTTAGAAGGGACCCTTTGCCACATCCTCCTGCCCTGGCCTGTGTCTGTGGCTCCTGTTCTGGACTCCTCATGTGAATGGGAGTGGTCCCTCTGTGTCTGGGTGCTTTAACTTGACATGTGCTTTCAAGGGCCATACACACTGCAGCCTGGATCAATGCTCATTCTGCTCGTGGAAATGACATTTGTGGAGTGGACACACCACACCTTGCTCACCACTCATGAGCTTCTGCATACTGGACTGTCTTTTTGTTGGTCATGTACAATGCTGCTGTGAAGATTCCTGTACAGGTGTTTGTGCGGACTTAAAGTTCCATTTCTCTTAGACACACACCTAAGGGTGGAATTGCTGGGTCACAGGGCACCTTATGTTGTGCACTAGTCTCCAATTCCACCTGCAAACGATGAGAGTTCTGCTAGCTCCATCTCCTCACCATGCCTCATTATTATAGCTTTTATTTCTTTGCTAAGATTTCTGCTTTTGTCCCATTTGTTTCATTTGAAACAAACCTGCAATTTGCAACTTAATGTGGGAGCATTTTTCTGACAGTTTTCAAACCCTCTCAGGTAGTTCTGACATCGAGTCCCGCTTGGTATTGGCATCAGCTGATGGTCTTTTACACCTTAGGTTTCAGCTTTCTCAGTTCTTGATGGGGTGAGTGATCTCAGTTGTCCCTGGGGGTTCTGTTCTTCGCTCAGGAGACTCTGCATCCTCTCACATCTATTCTTTGAGCAGGCAAGCATCCGGCTGGCGTGTGATGCTACCTTCTCCATGGGCTTTTGTTTCCATGGCAGCTTAGTCTCCAAAACCTCCCAAAGTGCCCTGGTCTTTCTCACCCTTCTAGTGCTGCTGAGACTCTGCCCAATCCCTAGGGAACCATCCATGGGGGCAAAGGCAATGTCCTGGGCTGTCTGGGCATGGTCTTACTGTTTGTGCTATTGCTGGGGCTGAAGGGAAGAGCCTGGTTGTGGTGTGCAGAAACATGGGCTTGTTGCTGCTGGGTGTGGGCAGATTGGCCACCTGTCAATCATGGGGTCTGGCTTAGGCTCCCCCTCAGCAGTTGTCAGCAAGGGAGGAAAGCCCCAGCAGGGGCCCCTTGCTTACGTCTGGTGGCACATGGGACCAGCGAGGCCACTGGTTGCTCTGCTCACAGGGGGAGACAGCTGCCAACTTGCTCTGGAAAGGCCCTTGCTGTCCCCATTAGCCCAGGCCACTGGTGGCTCCCACATCTATATACGCAACTTTGGGCCACAACCTCCGCCATTGCCCCAGCTGAGTGGTGAGAGCTGGCTGGAGCCACGAGGAATTATGAGGGCAGCTCTCTGGACCTGGGGGCTGGGGCCCTTTCTTCTCACTCTCAGGGCAGCCCCCTTGGTAAGTTTCTCCTTCCTCATCCACAGGACTTTCTGGAGACAGTGGCTCTGTGGGTGCCCAGGCCCTGGGACACGAGCATTCCCTGCTGTCTCCATCTGTCTTCCTGGCTCTCCCTAGCCCCAAGGCTGATGGGACGTCCTGGGCAGGAGGGATATGGGCTGCAAAGGGCCTGACCCCTGAGAGGGTCCAATTGCAGGATAAGCTTGGAGCTCAGGCACGGGTCTGGGTTGGTGCCTGGTTCCATGGGCCCAGATGGACACCTAGTGCTGATGAGACCTGGGGGGACTGCTGTCCCCTGGGTTAGGGCTGGGGCCCACAGGGCAATGAAGGCAACATGGAGTCCCAGGAACTTCCAGGCAGGGTAGTGTGTGTGTGAGGGGCTGCTGTATCCAAGAGCAAGAAGCTTCAGAGGAGACCTGCCGAAGGGACAGCATGTGAGGCTGGAGGTTACAGTGAGGCTGGAGGTGACAGTGAGCCCAGGCTGAGTGTGCAAGAGTGTGCACATGTGAAGGCATGGTGGGCATCTACAGGGGTCTGCAGCTTTCACGGCCCTTGAAGCTGAAGGAGAAATAATGCATTGGCTGGGCTGCTCCAAGGCCCAGGAGGGAGGTCACCCGATGCTGCACAGAAGCCAAGTAGCGGCAGTGGAGTTGGGACCTGTTGGCAGCAGGGGTCAGTGGCAGAAAGGGCAGGGTACTGACACCTGCAGAGGTCAGTGGTGTGTTGCTGTGCCTGGGGTCACAGTTGAGGGCTTTGTATTGGTGTTCAAGATGGCAGACCAGAGTTTGATCCTTCCATGATCTGGGCAGGAAGTGATGAGGAGGCTCTGAGTGGAGGGGTGCAGGGCAGTGATGGTGGAGGACCCTGCAGGAGACACAGTTTCCCTTGGGGCATCTCCCTCTCTCTGAGCCCACTACCATATGGGACCTTCTCTCTTCTGAGGGTGCAGGGTCCACCAGGGGCCCTGAAGGTGGGTCTAGGGCTTCTGGGGGGCAGGCTGCCAAGACTGGAAGAGTGTGGGGTTTCAGAGACTGCAGTGTCTCCAGTGGAAGTGGAGCCATGACATCTGGGAGCAGGGGTGGGTGAAGATCCAGCCCAGCTCCTGGCCTCCAAGGACAAGGGAACTTCCTTACTTTGAGGGGCATCACTGATGTCGGTTCTCCAGGCTAGGAGGGGAACAGGGAGAAGAATTGGGGGAGATGTGGGGGTAGTGGGCTGGTCTCCATGTGACCCCTGCTGTCATTTTTCCAGAATTGCTTTGGGGCTGCTAATTTGTGGAGCGAATCCTTGGAAGCAGCCCCAGGTGGATTCAGGCTGGTTCCTCTCCCCACTAGACCCAGGGGGCATTCTGCCCTCTAACCAGTCCTGTCTGTCCCAAGGTAGTCCTGGTGACCTGGGGCTGGCACACAGACAGACTGCATGCGATGGAGTGGTGCAGGTCCGACGTGATGGGGAGTGGGGACACTTGTGCAACCAGGAGTGGACACTGGCGGAGGCCTCTGTGGTCTGCAGGCAGCTTGGCTGTGGCTGTGCAGTTGGTGCTCCCAAGTATGTCCCGCTACCAGGAGAGGTGGCTCGGCCCTGGCTGCACAACGTGTCCTGTCGGGGTCATGAGTCCTCCCTCTGGGAGTGCAGCCTGGGCGCTTGGAGTCAGAGCGCATGCCCCCATGAGTGGGTGGTGGTTGTACTCTGTGCAAGTGAGTAGGGGCAGGGGGAGGGGGAGGCTGGGAGGAGGTGTGGAGGGGTGTGGGGGTGGGTGTGGAGGAAACAGTATGAGGCTAGGGAGGACCTGGGAAGGGATGGGGAAGGGATAGACCTGGAGGAGAGGAAGGGTGGGTTTGGGGCTCTGGCAGGGACTCCTGGTTGGGGCCTGGAACACCCTGACTGCAAGTTGCTGCCACCTCTTCTCCCTGGTTAGTCCCTTATGTGTTGGGATCCTTTGATATTCTTCCAAATACTCAGATGCTGTGTGCTAGTGCCCAGCTGTGCCTGGACTGGACAAGGGTCCTGTTCCACTGAGCTTAGGCTGCCAGTGCCTCAGCTTTAGGGAAGCAGGGTAGTTTTTAGGGTGGCAGCCACAGGCTGGGGTTCTCCAGGAGGGCCCCAGAGGCACACAGGCATGCACTCATGGTTCCTACATGGATGGCTGAGAGGCCATGCTTTCTCTTGGGTGTCTGGCCTGACATGGTCCAGCCGTGTCTGGGTGCCTTGTGTGGCCTGGAACTTGTGAGGACCCTCACTGCATCAGGTCGCTAGAGTAAGGGTCCCTTGAAAAGGCCCTACAGGGTCTTGGGGATTCATGTGAAGCCACCATGAAGGCCTTCTTAAAGCATGCTGAGTACTTCAAGGGGGTGACCCAGAGCATTGAACGGGGCTGAACTTGTGTGATACCAGGTCTCTGGACCCTGAAACCCGGCCCTCTCTGGACTCCCTGGAGAAGGGGTAGGTAGGTTTGCACTGTAATTCCTGCCTCTCAGACCCAAGAGAGTGCCTGGTAGGCACGGCCATGGTCAAAGGCAGTGCATCTGGAAATATCTGTTACCAGGGCGTATGCAGTCTTCAAGGGTCGGTGTGCCTAGCGGAGTCTGAATCTTCTGTAACGTGGGCCTGTGCTTCACAGATGGCACTTTCCGGGAGATCCGCCTGGTGAAGGGTCACAGTCCCTGTGCAGGACTCCCTGAGATCAGGAATGTGAATGGGGTGGACCGCCTCTGTGGCTTGCACACGGAGGAGGCCACAGCATTCTGCCAGGAGCTGGGGTGTGGCCCTGCGCTCCAGGCCCCCTGCCAAGGTGTGGACATCGTCAGGAAGTACATGGTTTGCAGGGGCACAGAGCCCACCATCCGCAACTGCAGACTCAACAACAACCTGCGCAGTGGCTGTGACCTCCAGCTGGATGCAGAGGTGGTCTGCTCAGGTGAGTTGTAATGCCATGCTCTCAGGGACCCCCAGGTGATACCAGGCCCGGGCACTGTGGGGGTGCAGGGGTGCCAGGGATCCATCCTGCCTGAGGCATTGGGTGCAGACCATTGTGGGTGTCGTGGGAGGGAAAGGCCTGTGTGTTCATGGCTGGTCCTCTCTATCGACATGTGGGCCACTGGCTCTCAGAAGGGACAATGAGTGGGCTGGGAAAGTCGAGGAAAACAGAGAGGACTGTGGAAACACAGCTTTAGGGAAGCAGGGTAATAATAATAATAATAATTATAATCTCTAGCTCAGAGTTGCCTTTGGCAGGGACCTAGAGATAAAGGGCCCTGGAAGCTCTTTAGTATAGGCTGACAGGTGGGAACCCAGCAGGCCACAGGTGTGCTGAGGTCTGTGTGCTGTAGTCCACAAGAGTGGAGCTAGTTTCTGGCGACCCAGCAAGATGCCAACTCAGCATACCCAGGCCAGGAGTCTTTGCTGAAGGTGCAGGGCTGACCAGTTTCAGCTGAGATAGCTACAGGCTAAAAGGCATTTGGTGGATAGCAAGTCAGTTCCTCCCAGCCCTGTCTCAGGTGTATGTGAGCTGGACTGCTCACAGCTCCTGGTTGAGTATGAGGGGCACAGACTACCTGCCATGGTGCCCACAAAAGGCAGTGTTTATGGCCTGAGGGGACCTTGACCTTGCCTTTGAGATTGTAGATGGACTTGATACCATCACCCTGACAGGCAGAGGCTGTGACAGATGTGAGTGCCAGAGCAGGTGACCCTGCCCTCTGGCCTTAGGTATAGGGTGGATGGGCCTCCGTCTGCCAGTTCTTGCCTGCGTCTGGCAGATGACTGACCCAGATGACATCCCTGGTGTGAGCCTCCTGTGGGTGTGGTTGAAGGTGTTAGCTCAGGGCTGTTCATTGGACAATACCCATCTCCACCTGAGAGGATGTTGATTCCCCCAGGACACATAGAGGCCCGGCTGGTGGGCGGTGAGCATCCCTGTGCTGGGCGCCTGGAGGTTGGGCGGGGCCTGACCTGGGGCACTGTCTGCCTCATGGACCTGGATCTGCCCACAGCCCACGTGGTGTGCCGGGAGCTGCAGTGTGGGTTGGTCATCTCCGTCGTCCACGGCACCCTCTTTGGCCAAGGCTCAGGGCCAGTGTGGACAGAGGCCTCCCACTGCCTGGGCAATGAGTCCCTGCTGTTCCACTGCCAGAGCGAGCACCATGCGGGCACCAGTGCACGCATGACCAGGACCTGGGGCTCAGGTGCTCAGGTGAGGCCTGGGGCGGACTGCAGAAGTCCAGCCCAGGTCTTTCCTTGCCAACATTCCTCCATGGGCCCCACCTGTGACTCTAAGAGGAGCCCCTAAGGGTCCTGGGCAGGAGTGTATTGTGCTCAGGGACCGCTTGGTCCTGCTGGTTGAAAGGAGGGCAGGAAAGGAAGGGGAAGGGTTCTGGCCATTGAGAGATGTGACTCAAGGGCTGCACTGCAGACAGGGGGCTCCTCTGCAGAGTTGTAGGACCTGGAGGCTGATGCTCTGGTAGGTGGGGGCGGACACAAGGATCCAGGGTCCATTCTGTGTGCAGCATACTGGGTGCAAAAGAAAGAAATGGCTGAGTAGAGCTGCTTTTAGGGTGTGTGAAGCTGAGGCCACAGGACTTCATCTCTCCCCAGAGTTCCGGCCGGTCAATGGCAGCAGCAGCTGTGGGGGCCGCGTGGAGCTCCAGGTGCAGGGGTCCTGGGCGCCCCTCTGCGCCTGGCACTGGGACTTAGCAGATACGACCGTCCTCTGCCACCAGCTGAACTGTGGCAACGCTGTGGCCACACCTCCAGGAGGCCACTTTGGGGAAGGAGGAGCTCCCCTGTGGCCAGATGTGTTTCACTGTGTGGGGACAGAGCTTTATTTGTGGAATTGCCCAGTGAGCACGCTGGGGGCCCAGGCCTGTGCCCCAGGAAATTCAGCCTCTGCCCTCTGTTCAGGTGGGTATGAGGTAGGATTGTGGAAGAGTAAGCGGAAGGTCAGCAGGAGGTTGGAAAAGCACAGAGTATGGACTCCAACTGAGCTGAGAGTGGGCAGGGCTTTGTGGGGGACGGGCTTTCCTGTGACCATGGGAACCCTCTTGCTCCCTGCCAGGTCTCCGAGACGCCTTACGTCTGAGGGGCGGTCAGAGCCGTTGTGATGGCCGGGTGGAGATGGCCCTGGACGGCATGTGGCGCCGTGTCCTGGGCAACGCCTGGGACCTGCGGGCCGCCAGCGTGGTGTGCCGGCAGCTGGGGTGCGCAGGGGCAGCGCGAGCCTACGACGCGCCCACCCCTGGCCGTGGTGTGGTCCGGGTATGGTTGAGCCGTGTGCGCTGCGTGGGCTCCGAGACCCACCTGACCCCATGCAACGTGTCCACGTCCCAGCTGGTGCCCGCAGGGGTTTCACGGGACGTTGGCGTCGTGTGCTCTGGTGAGTGTGGGAACAGTTGTTCCCCCAGCTCCCTGGCCCCCAGAGTGCAGGCGCTCCTGACTCAGTCTCTCCGCAGGGAGCCTCCGGGTACGGCTGGCCGCTGGGCTGGGTCGCTGTGGAGATGCTCCAGGGAGGGGAGTGGGGCACCGTGTGCGATGATGCCTGGGACCTACAGGACGCGCATGTGGTCTGCAGGCAGCTGGGCTGTGGCCACGCCCTGAGTGCGCTGGGGTCCGCCCACTTTGGGGTTGGGGCTGGCCCCATCTAGATGGACGAACTGGCCTGTGTGGGCCATGAGTCTGCTCTGTGGCAGTGCCCGTCTGGGGGCTGGGGACGGCATGACTGTGGGCACAAGGAGGACGCTGGGGTCTTCTGCTCAGGTGGGTGCCTTGTCTTTTAGTGTCTTCATGGGGCAGTTGAACATCTAGGAAGCCTAAGGTTACCCTGTTTGGAATTCTGCTTCTCTATGTTGCTGCCCTCTTGGTGGGTCACTCTTGGGTCACAGTTTGTCATTATTCACAGAGACAACCAGTGTCATGGTGACCAGTCACCCTCAGGTGGACAGCAGCACGGGTGGGCATGCATGGAGCTCCTCCCACTCTCTGGCATTGCTTTGTGCAGATGGAGGGCAGCCTCTGTTCTGTCATGACCCAGCAGGCTCCAGAGAGAGGGAGAAAGTGCTGATCTCACTGAGCGGCCAAAGTCCCAGCAGCGTCCCTGCAGTGCTGCTCCTAAGTTATCTTAATTAGTCAGATTTTTTTAATTAGTTATGATTGTTGGAGGCAAGATATATCAAATTTTCTCTAGTTATCCTGTCATGGTTATATGAATGTTATAATTGCCACTTGAGGTGTAATTTTTTTAAAATTAGTTGTAGATGGACATGCACCTTTATTTTATTTTTATGTAGTGCTGAGGATTGAATATAATGTCTCACACATGTTAGGGAAGCACTCTATCTCTGAGCCACAACCCCAGCCCATGAGGTGTAATTTAAAGGGTCTCTATGCTCCAGTCTGGGGCTGTATCAACAACCCTGCCACACATCAGCCAGGGGGACATATCTGGGCTTGGATCCATCAGGATTGATGCCTATTTAGAGCATGAAGCTCTGGACTAAATCATGGTTCTGACTTATTTTTTTCATGTCATTAACCAATTTTTTTTTTAATGTTATTTTAAACTGACACACAGTAAGTGCATATTCAATGGGTGCAGTATGACATTGCAGTGCACAGTGTATAGTGTGTCCTGACCATGCCAAGGGACTGGCAGAACTGTCACCTCAACGTGGCCCACCTCTTGGTCTTGGGAAGATTCCAGTCTTCTCTACTTTCCACTTTGAAGTATTCAGTTAAGTGTATCAGCCATGGTCATCCTGCCTGCCATGGAACATTGGGAACCAGCCCTCCCGTCCAGCTGCACCCGGCAGCCAGGACCACCTTCCATCCCCTCCCCTGCAAGAGTCTGGTGGCACACTGGCAGTCGTCGCTTCCCTCTTTCCTGTGTGGTTTGAGGCTTCTTAATATGGTGCCATTCCATCTGCCTGTGTGTGGCCCTGTTGCTCAGACCACGGTCCTGGCTGTGCTGTCTTCCTCCAGGAGGGTGCTTTTTGGGTCTTGTACCTGAGTGTCTGTTCCATCCTGAGCTTGTCCGGTGTCTTCCTCCTGTGTGGTGCCCAGTGCCCTGCACTTTTACGCAGCACACCTTCCTTCTCACGGGGTGTGCTTGTGTCCTGTAGAATCTATGGCTCTGAGGCTTCGAGGAGGTCCTGGTGGCTGTGCTGGCTGGCTGGACGTGCTCTACAATGGGACATGGGGTTCTGTGTGCAGCAATGCCCTCAAAGACATCTCCTTGACTATCACCTGCAAACAGCTGGGGTGCGGGGATCAGGGCTGGCTGGAGAACAAGCCATTCCAAGGGGCAGGTTCCAGCACCGCCTGGGTAGACGACATCGAGTGCCGCAGGCTACCCAGCTCCACTCTGTGGCACTGTCCTTCTGCTCTCTGGGACCCACGCTCCTGTGTCCTGGGAGAAGAGGCCTGGATTACCTGTGCAGGTGGGCATGGCTCTTCTGGGTGTCCTGAAAAAGACTGTTCTGAAAGTCACAGATAGGGCTGAAGTGAACTGCAGCTCTGACCTGGAGCCTTGTGGATCTGTCCATGTGCTCTGAAGCTGCCTGCCCACTCATAAGCTTATAGGTGCTGGTTGCTTCTATACAGGATTTTCACCAACAATGGCACAGGCTTCAGGAGAGATGCTCAACTGCTCATCCGTGCTCAGTTGCCCAGGTATGCCTCTGTCCCTTATGTAGATGAGCCTGCTCATGCCTAGTGTGGCCCAGAGGTAACCTCTGCCCCTTCCAGAGGAGGGTGCAGTGTGCGTGCGTGGCGGCAAGGACGGATGCTCTGGGCGCGTGGAGCTCTGGCACAGGGGCTCCTGGGGCACCGTGTGTGATGACTCCTGGGACCTGGCAGAAGCAGAGGTTGTGTGCCGCCAGCTGGGCTGCGGCCAGGCAGTGGACGCCGTGCCGGGCGCTGCCTTTGGCCCTGGCTCGGGGCCCGTGTGGCTGGATGAGGTGGGGTGTCGTGGCAGTGAGGCGTCCCTGTGGGGCTGCCCGGCTGAGCCGTGGGGACGCGGAGACTGTGAGCACAAGGAGGACGCAGGTGTGCACTGCTCAGGTGAGTGTGCAAGAAACCCAGGGGGAGAGGGTGCCTGGAGGGCGTGTTCCTGTGTCCACCTCTTTTTCTCAGCCACTCCCCACAGGGTTCAGTTGGGTGCTCCCGGCACAGGCTGCCCCCTGGGTCTTATGATGCTGTAGCAGAGGGTGGCCAGGTGAGCCCCTGGGCCCTGACAGGTCTGTGCTGCTTAGAGCATCTCTGCCTCCCCATCCTGGTGCTCAGGCTGGTATGTCTCCTGCAGGTGTCCCTGGGACCACTGCATCTGGTAGGTGGCATCCTGCCCACCCCCCAACTCCCAGTCCTTGTGCACCTAGAGGGCCTGCAGTGGGTGGGGCTCAGCTCTGACTGTCCCGGGGAGCTCTAGGAGCAGGTGCCTGGTCACACCCTGTTCAGGTGGTCCAGGCCCCTCCCTGATGAAAGCAGCTGTCCTTCCTTGTGCCTGGGTGGGTGGGGAGCCTGTGAGGGGACCAGAGCCCAGGCCCGGGCCCTTGCTTGCTGTGGCCTTGAGGACACAGTGGCTCTAGGTCTACAGCAGAGCAGAGGCAGGGGCAGAAAGGCCCATAGGAGCTTTTCCCTGTGTGCATGGGTGGGTCATGAGTCCTGGGCCCTGATCCTGGGCCTTCACACCTGGGCATTTTCCCCTGGATTTTCCTGGCTGAGCCTTCCGTCTAGGCCCTTTCACAGGAACGTTTGTTTTAAGCCCACTGCTGGGGCCTTGGCGCTTGGCAGTCCCATCTGTGAGCCTTGGATCCTAGGCCTTCACCCTGAGCTCCTCCACCATGGGACCTCTGGCCATCTCTGGGGAGCAGCTGCTTGTCCAGATGGCAATGAGACCCCTCCCCCATGCACACTGCCCCTTCTGAGAGGCTGAAGTCATCCAGGTCCAGGGTCACAATGCCCCAGGTAGCCAGGCACTCAGGAGGCCCCGCCTCTCACTGCCCACAGCCCTTTCCCTGGCCCCTCCACCTGTTGCTGAGGGCTGGACCTTGCCTGAAATCGCCTGCCTGGTCCTTGGCTTTGTCCTGGGCCTCGTCTTCCTGGTGCTAGGTGTCCAGTGGTGCCACAGCAGTGCTGCCTGCATGGGTAGGTGGATGACTGGGCATGGTGAGCAAGGTCCTGGGAGCAGAGGCTGGGGGAAGCTCTGGGAGACGCCAGCACTGGCACACCCTCTCTGTTCTGGCCACCCTCCTGCATACTGCAGGTGTCTTCCTAGCAGCCACTGTTGGGTGAGTTTCTGTGGAACCACACACGAGGTGTGGGTACCCAGGTCTCACTATGTTTTGAGAATAGATCTATGAAGAAAATCCTCTTTCCCTGGGCACCAAAGTGTCCCCCATCCATCCCTCATCCTTGTCCTTGTAGCTGGGACCTGTCATAGTGTGTTCAGAGCCTGGGACTCATCCCTTTCCCCAGGTCCCTTTGATCAGTGCACGGCAGGGTGTGACTGAAGGCCATTGCTGTGCAGGGGCAGATGGAGAGGAGCCGGGGTCTCAGCATGCCTGAGAGGTCCAGGTGCCTGGGGGGTGGTGGTGGGAGGCTCCATCTACAGGAGCGTTCATTCTGTAAGGTTGTTGCCTTTGCAGGTTCTGGACTGTCGGGGAACCAGGCCTCAGAGGGCGTCTATGAGGACATCGAAGCTGTCCCTGTGAGGGAGAAGGATGAAGTGTCCCCAGAATCCAGGGGGCCCATGCAGGAGGAAGATTATGATGATGCGGCAGAGCCTGAGGAGGGCCACCATGATGAGGGGGAGGAGTCTGGGGCCTTGCTGAGCCCCACAGGTGTGCATCTTTGCGCCCTGGGGTCCGTGGCACTCTTCTTACTGTACTGCTCCCACGTGCAGGGCTCTGCTCTGGCCAGCGCTTACATTTAAAGATCCTGAGTGCTGCTCTGTGTCTCTGGGTCCTCACTGCCATCTTAGGCACGAGGCATTGGAAAGTGCCCTGTCCCTCAAGGCTGATGCTTAGACTGGAATCTTGCAGTGGGCAGGATGGTGCTCAGTAAAGTCCTACCTGTCTTTGTTTCCTGTTGGAGCTGTGCCCTTTGTGCCTTCTACACCAAATCCCTGAAGGCTGAAAGGGAGGCTGCGGGTGGCTGGTGGGGCTGTGTCTTTATGTTAGCACACATCCCAGAGTGCCCCACCTGCTGCTCCCAACCTTGTCTCTCTCTCTATGGCTTCCTCTGCCATGGGGACCAGGAGCTGAGCATGGGGGCTCTGAGAAGTCCCTGAGGACCACAGTGTACGTCCCTCTCCTAATCACAGGTGAGGCTCCTTGTAGCCTGGTTCCTGGAGCTCAAACTGGGAATGAAGAAAGTGGTAGCCCCTGGCCCAGCCCATGATGACCATGAGAGGACCCTCTGGGACTCTGAGCTGTGTGTGCAGAGCATGAGATGAACCTGGCAGGCGGGTCTTTCTTGCCCTCATTGTTAAAACAGATGTCGTTCAAGTCCCTTTGACCCCACTCATACCCCACTAGTCCCTCCAGGACATTTATCAGGTCCCATAATGGCCAAGGTGTGTCCTGGGCCCACTTCTCTGCCTCTCCTTGACCTTTGTCCTCCTGTGTGGGCCAGGCCTGGCATGTTTCTAGCCCATGGTGGTTCTAGCAGCTGTCCTGAAATGTCGGGTGAAGTTCCCGAGGAAGGTACCATGCTGACACCCTCTGATCTACAGGCAGGGACATCCTCCCTCAGCGGGAAGCTAATGCACCTCAGGCCCACCTTTCACAAGTGTGCTGGTCTGGATCCCAGCACGTGCTGGACACGTGGTCATGTGATCAATACATATGTGAGAACAGCTTTCCTGACCCCCTTGAGCACTCCCATCCAGGACCACGTGCTCCATGTCCAGACCTACCCCAACCACTCCCATTGAGGCCCCGTGCTCCATGTCCAGATCAGTCCTGGTCACTCCCATCCAGGACCACATGCTCCATGTCCAGCCTGCACTGGCCACTCTCATCAAGGCCACGTGCTCCATGTCCAGATCTGCTCTGGTCACTCCCATCCAGGACCATGTGGTCCATGTCCAGACCTGCCCTGGACACTCCCATCCAGGAACACTTTCTCTTTGTCCAAAATGTGACTTGTATTGCTCAATAAACAACCATGGTACCCAAGAAAAACCTAAATAATCCTGTAGTCAAACTTGGTCCCCCCAGTGCCCTAAGCATTTCCATATTGAGGTCACATGGGCCTCTTATTTATCATTAGTCTACCATCCCTTTGCTGTAGATTACTCCTCTAATGTGATTATGAAACTGCTTGCCCAGGATACTCTCTGGGGTCCCATAGGCAGATTTTGTTGAAAGCACCAATTCTTGGGCCTGTTCATGTCCCATGGTGGTTGGATTGGGTGTGGGGGCTTAGCCTCTCTTTCCCAAATTGTGTCCATGTCCTTTGCTGCCTTCACCTTTGGATCAGAGTATAATCAGCACCACATGTAGACCTTTAAACTCTTGAGAGACATTTTGTGAAACTATAATATGGGGTTAACTTGACCCAGGCTTGCCTCACCTCCCACTCCCCCAGTTAAGGCTAAAGACACCATGAAGTGATATGCTGTACCTTAAAGGGAATGACAGGAGGTGGCATCTAAGTTCCTGGAAGATTTCTACCTATTCCCTAAGAAGGCATGATGTTAGCCTACCCCTCCACCCTCCAGTTTTGTGAGCAGAACTCCATCGTCATTCTCTGGCCACTGAATACAGCCTTTCTTTTCTATCATTCTTCTCTTAGACAGGGTTTCTCTGGGGATGAACTTATGAGTTGGGTAACGTCCATTGCTTCTTGCTCACCTCCATCCCAAACCACGTCCACCCTGTGCGCCAACCACCATGGAGTCCTCTGTGAGCATTCACTACAGGACTAAACCTCTGTGGCCACACATCTCTGGGAAACACGCCTTCTGGCACCTGCTTTTTTGCCACCTGGAATCTGTTTCTTAAGAGTGAATCTGTCTGTGGTCTGATGAGAATGGTCCCTGACAAGGTTCTGGTGGAGAATGGATCCTTGTGGTACTCCCATGTAGTAGAATTTACCTTCCTGGTGTCCTGATGGAGAGGTGGACCCTACAGGAGGGCTGATGTAGGGTGGATCCTCCCAGTATCTTGGCGGAAGTGGACCCTCCTGGTGTCCTGATGTGGAATGGACCCACATGGTGTTCTAGTGGGGAGTGGACCCTCCTGGTGTCCTGATGGAAAGTGGACCATCCTGGTATCCTGGTTTGGAGTGGGCCCTCCTGGTAGGTCCAGGTGGGGAGCAGACCTGCATGTTGGGCAAGAACACTGTGAAAATAGGGTGCTGTTGCCCCACAGTCTACTCTGGGTGACTTGGTGTGTGGTGGCTCTCCAGCTGTCCATGGGATCATTCATACTGATGACCTTCATGGAGTGTGGGCACTGGGCAGGACTTGGGAGGACAATGTGGTGTCCGTGCTGATCAGCTCAGCAAAAGCTTCAAGAGTCCCACAGCAGAAGAGGGTCTGGCCCTCAGCTCCTTGTTTCCCCACTGGCTGAGGCGGGATGCTGGCTGCAGGCCTCCCTCTGTGCTGCCCTCCCCTGCTCTGCTGAGTCCCTTTCACCTCTGGAAGGATCAGAAGCCCCCTCTGGAGCAGGAGGGGCCCAGCTCCTTTCTTCAGGAGAGTGGGAAGTTTGTGGGAATTTACCTAGAGATCTGGCACCTGGCTTACACTGTGGGGTCACATGAGAAATTGCTTTGTGTTTTAGAGACTGGGTTTCTGCTCCAGCGAGTGGACATCCTGGAGCTGCTGGATGGGAAATCAAGCATGATCTCAGGTGACAGGAAGCCTGGTGGTATTAGCAGGGTGGGGACGTGAGTTCATGGAGCAGCTCGCGGTCTGGTTGGGGTAGAGACAGAGAATGAACACACTGGAGAGCGTGGGCAGTGATACTAAGGCTAGACGTTAAGAGGGGCAGGGGCCAGAGAGGCCGGTGGCCCTGGTCTTCATCCTCTTGTGACATCTAGACAAAGCCTTCATTGTTGAGATGGGACCAGATGCTGGTGGGGGGCGATTCAGGGGGGACGCTGTGGGATGTTGGAGAGGTCAGCAGGGCCAGGCAGCCCCAGGGCAGGCTTTCCTTCTGGGGATCCTGTCCTCCCTGCTGTGGCCTGAACTCTGGGGGTGCAGGGACTTTGGGGAGATAAGAGCCTGCTGGCTGCACCCCTGAACCACGGGGTGTCATAGCCTCCCTGTTCGGACAGGCGGCCCAGAGGCCTTGGGTATACCCAGGTGCCCCTGCCCCTTCCTGCGTTCAGGCCGCCCCCCAGCAGGGGCACCTGTTGTTGGGGAGGAGTCCCCTGGCCAGCAGCAGTCGTCCTGGGAGCTCTGGGCACATGCGGGCGAGCTCGGGTCTTCCTGACGGGTACCTTTGCTTCCTGAATCTTGGCTCAGGTCCCAGGTCCTCTGAAGGGAATTAGTAAGGGAGCAAGAGGTCAGTCCTGCTGGCTTGCGGGTGCTCTTGACAGGACCCCAGGTGGCTCCAGGGGCTGTCCTGCCTCACCCCACTTTTGTTTCTTTCTGCTTATTCTCCAGTTCCTGGCCTGTCTGGCAGCGGGGCCTCACGTTCGCTGCTCTCCTCTGGCATCTGGGAAGCCTCCCCACTTCCTTGCACCCGCCTGGTGCTGCCTGGGCGTGGTGGTCTCTCCAGAGCCCCGCTGCGTTACGGGGCACGACTGCCCTTGTGAGGAGGCGCCTGGCCAGGCTGCCTGGTCCTCTCAGTGCCTCCCTCCCGGGCCCTGGGGCTCTGGACAGTCTGGGTCACCCTGTGAAGGAGCTGCAGCGGCTGTGCTGCTGCCTCCTTGTCCTGCTTTGGGTGGAGGCTTCAGTGGCCTCACGGAATGTGCTGGGAGGCTTTGCCTCTCTTCTTCCTGGTGGGAGGGATTCTATGAGCATGCAGTGGTTTCACCTGTAAGACCATTTGTCTATTTCTGGAGGAGATTTTAGATGGACTTGTCGGTTCCCTTCATGGGCCGAGGACTGTTGAGGCTTGCTATTTCTTTTTTTTTTTTTT